CCAATACTGCCAAGTAATATGCTCTTTTATAAAAATAACGGTAATTCATGTAATCTTTTTCCTGAAATATTGACTATTAAATTGAAAAGATCATATTAATGACAATAATAATTATATGCAACATTTTATTCATTGAATGAATGTTTACCTTAGGCATGATTACCGCAACATCCACGTTAAAACCTTGACGCCTACGGATCACACCTTTTAATGGATAACTGCCAACCAAATAAAAGGCAGTAGGTTTCTTAAATCCAAACTTATATTGAACGCATGTAGGATCGGGATCAGGAAATGGAATCGTGATGTTATATTTTTTTGAAAGAATAGATTTTGCAAGATCGATCTTTTAAAAATAATTTAAGAGTGAGGTATTGGTTATTTTTATATTACGAATTCAATACCATTATTCGAAATATTAAATAAATAAGACTTACTGGAAGATCTAGTTTATCATTCATGTTCTCGAAAATCTGTTTCAGCTTATTTAACGCGTTTTCTAATCTTGAAGTTGCTGTGAAATCAATACTTATCTCTGACAATAGTTCATCAATCTAAAATCGCATCATTAATTAGGTATTAAAGAATTTTCACACGATTTTAATACAATATTATGAAGAAGTATAAACGTTTTACTTGAAGTTTGAATATATTCGATTTAAATAAATCAGTTGTTTCCTTTAGTCCTCGTATTTCCTCATTTGTAGGTGGTTCGTGTATCGAAGAGTTTTTAGACACACATTCTTTGTCATACTCATACTCTTGTCTATCTTTCATTTCTTCATCTTTCACTTCTTGATCCTCCATTTCTTCGCCGTTCATATCCTCATTCACTTCTTCACCTTTTGTTCCTTTATCATCCATTATTTCTCCATTAATCCTCATTTCGTTTTTTTTTTCACCTTTTTCAATCATTCCTCCCAGCATTTCCTCCATATAAACACCACTATTCAAAGCCGTGTTTGTGAGTGTTTGAATATCATGAATGGGATCCAAGTCACTCCCATCCTCCTCCAAATCTTCACCACCATCAGAATCAATATAATCAGGATCCTCATCTTCGTCATACTCATCATCCATGCTAAGATACTTTTTAATTCTATCAGCCCAAGACGTATGCGAATCATCGCTCATTAGATCATCATCGTCACTTTCTTCTTCTGTTTCTATCTGATAAGTTTCCGTAGTATTTAAAGCAGTTGAGAAGGTGACACGTTTCTTTGGTCGTGGGTTCTCTGTACTCTAGATGTTTAATGAAAAAATGTATGTTGAATGTCGCGAACAATTAAGATGCTGCATGGAATTTATTAGAAATTGGCATACACTTTCTTCTGTGGATAACACAGGGTTTAATTTTCTTTTGTGACCTTTGCTTGTCATTGCACTTTATTAAAGAACGACGCGGATCAAGACAAGAAATGTAAAAAGAAAAATTAATTCCTGCAGTTAAACGACGATGCAAAATTTCGTGATCTAGATATAAAAATCATGATCACGTGTTATTATAAATCGCGTTAACCAATAGCTAGCAATATGTGATTTTTTTTAAAAAAAAAAATCAAAAAAAAAATCAATATTGTTTTTTTTAATAATTTATTTTTAAAAATTTGAAATTAAATAAAATGTAATCCTAGAGTAATTAAAACATCTCTATTTAAGTTTTTAAGTCCCGTTATATACTAGTTTAAATCATATTATTTAGCTATCTAATTATATTCAATTTAATTTAAATTTATTATAAAATTATATATTAATTATATTGTTTGATTTAGTTCATATTATTTGATATTAATTTTAATAATTTAACAAAATTACAATAAAAATAATAAAAAAACTACTTTATTTTTTTTTTGTTTTAATAGATAAAATTATTATTATTATTATTATTATTATTATTGCAAACAGTGTTGGTAAATATTTGCTCCATTAGTGCTCAATGGAATAGAGCAATGGAATCTGTATTCCATTAATTCCATTGGCTCCATTGTGGCACAGCATGTTATAATCGGTATTGACTTTTTTAGAATGATTAACATTAATAGCCAATAAAAGATATATTTTTTATCTAATCTAGTTTTTCATATAATAATCTTCTTTTTTTTATACAATTACAACGACATTACTATGAAACGATATACAGGTGGAAAACCACCTCATAGACTTACTCCCTATATTGAGGTCTTATCAATACAAGTGAACAAGTCTAATAAAGCTGCTGTATGTAAGGCATGTATCAAGAAATTGGGAAGAGAATTGGCATTGGATAAATCAGTGTTTACTAATACAAAAATTTGTGTAAAAGCACATTTAAAAAAGTGTATACAGTTTGCTGAGTTGTATACTGAAAAAGAAAGAGCAGAAATTCTATATGCATCTGATGAAGAAAACCAGCAAACGGATATATCATCAATTACTACTTCAAGTAGTTTTCATTCAAGTTTATTGGAAAAAATCACAACATCGCATAAACCTACTTCTCCTATACGTCATTTACAAAGTCGGCCATCAAAAAATTCTATTGAAAATTATCTTATTCGTGATCTAAATTCAGCTAAATATTGTATATTTGAGTATCATTTATTAAAAGTTACAATAAGTAACGGCTGGGCATTTAATTGGATAGACAATCCTGAGGTCTCTGCCCTTTTCAGATTTCTTAATCCAAATATTTCCTTACCTGGACGTCATGCTCTTGCTAGTCGTATTCTCTTATCACACAGTGAGGAGTTGCAACGTAAACAAACCATCGATGCCAAAAAAGAAGAAGTTGGTAATACTCTGGCATTCGATGGCTGGAAAAATGTTAATCATCAAGAAATCTTAGGGAGTGTTCTTATTACAAGTAAAGGGAAAGTGCTTGTATGGGGAGCTGAAGATATTTCTGGAGATGGTGCTCGCACAATTGATGTGGTGAAAAAAATTAAGAGTTTCTTCGCACGTGCAGAGAGAGACGATATTAAAATTATTGCAGTAGTAACAGATAGTGCATCGGCATATGCATCAGCAAGGTT